CAGGGCCTGGGAGCTCACTCAGGGCCTGGGGATCCCAGGGACCCATGATTTCAGGGACACACCAAAGCTTGTGCCGGGGGTGGAGGGGGGTGGGGAAGACGAGTGGGAATCTGGGGAAGAAACCGAGAAGCAAGGCCTCTCTCTGGCTTGTTGCACTTGGCAGGCAGGGACGACAAAGGAGCTCTCGGGAAGAGCGGGGAGGACCCGCAGGGGCCCAGGCTCCTCCGAGGCTGGTCCTGGGGTAGCACAGCAGTTACACTCAAGGAGGTGGGCGGAGCGGGGTCCTTTGGGAAACGCTGCACCAACTGATTCTCCGGGTTTGGAGTTGGGTGGGGGTGGGGCAGAGCTGCAAGAAGCGATGCTGCAGAGCGGAGAGGAGGTGGGTGTGATTGTCCACCAAGTCAAAACTGGCCGATTGGCTTGTCCTCGCAGGCTTTGAGAAAAGAAGCACATGTATTTGATTAATAAATAGTTTACTTTCTCTCCTACGACTTTTCCCAGGCTAAGGGAGATGTGGGGGTGGCGGTTACACTGTGTGCCTCCTGACTTGCTCACTCTCTGTTGCAGTTTTTCTCCTTATTCTTCCAGAACTTCAGTGGATGCGATCATTTCCTATATCAGATTGATCAATCTCATGTCTGGACCTTGGGCTCTTTCGTGCTTTCTACATACATTTAATGTATTCAGATGGGAGTAGTTCTGAGCTGACCGCCTAAGAGTTGGAGCTGAGTCACTTTGTTTGTTTATTATGTTAGTGCTGGTGATGGTACTGGGGGGGGGGGGTGTCAAACTCAGGGGCAGCGTTTTCACTGTGCTACATCCCAAACCCTTTTTATTTTTAAATTTTGAAACAGTGTCTTCTTAAATTGCCCAGCTGGCCTCCACTTTCCTATATACTCAGCCTCCTGAGTAGTTGATATTGTAGGCTTGGAGCATAGTGTCCAGCCTGGGCCACACATTTCCATGTTTCCTGTCAGCCCTGGAGTGTGGTGAGCATTTGGAAAGGCACTTCAAAACAGACAGACTTTGATGTCCACATTCTTTGAAGGCTTCTATACCAATTCCCAAAGTAGATGATTCAGGCTCCTACTGGAAATTAAGAACAGAGAGGGACAGTGGGAGCACTGGGTCTTAGGAGCTCAGCATTTTGAAGACTGTACCTTTCACTTCAGTTTTATATTTATGAAGACTTTCTTCTTTCTCTCTCTCTTTTAGTGCCCCACTGATGGAAAACCCAAGGTAGCGCAGTCTTGTATCCTGTCTTGGAGGATAACAGTTAAGAACTGGGCCTTAGCTTCCATTTCTACTTCAGGATGACTTCTCCAACTCTTTTCTCTTGAGCTTTCCCTGTCCTCTTGAACAGTGGATGTTGTCATTTCCCTGGGCAGCTCGAGGAAAAATAGAAATTGGCTTTTCAGGGTACAGGGGCACAGGTAGTATGGGACCATCTTTCTCAATTGGGTCATATCTGTAAGTGGACAGGCCTGCATTCACATTATCAGAGATTAGACCCCTTCTATACATTGTCTACCTCTAAATTCCCAAGCTGCTAGCAAATAACGGGAAGCAAAGTAGAAGGGAAATGACATTTCTATTTATCAGAGATGTGCAGAACTTTCTATGGAGAATTTGTTCAGGGAGGCTAAAGGGCCTTCTGTCCTCAGGTGGCAATATTTGGTGGTGATCTCTCTGAGCCTAACTGTCCTCCAGTTAATGTTGAGAAAAAGCTTCGTTGCACATTTTGCTAAAGATCGCTGGACTCTTCTTCTGCATGTGTATTTGGCTTCTGAAAGCCTGAAATTTCTGGCCTTGTCACCGAGACTTGCCCCGAGAACGCAAGGGTTTCAGGGAAGACCGTCTTCCTCTTCCCTCTTCTCCTCTTCCTCTTACTTCACACCATCCCCCCTCCTCTTTTGGACTTTCTCACTTCCGAATGGATCCTCGGCTTGTACAAGTTAAACATTTCGACTCTCAAAGACGAGGCTCTCCCATAGATTTTTTTCTCTCGAGGTTCTCAAGCAAAATTGCCGGTGCCACAATGTTATGATGGAAGGATGCTGAAATGACAGGCCTAGTAGACGCTTGTCTTAATCATCGGCTTCTTAATTTAGTTTTAGTGCCGTGTGTGTGTGTGTGAGTGTGTGTGTGCGCGCGCGCGTGTGTACACACACGCGCCTTGCTCATGTGCGCGCCCCCGAGGACGTTAAGGGTGCGCGCCTGTGCGCGCGCTGAGAGCAGTGGCTGACAACCTGCAGCGCCCTAATGAGTGACGAGGCAGGGCTGCTGCAGAAAAGTAACACTTCCCTGGTGTGAAGACCTCTCACTGGGAAGTTTAGTTCACTACTGTTCTCGCAAACCTAATCGTATAACCTGTAACCAAAACCCACAGAACATGGATACAACACGCTAAAGAGTAACTTCTAATCACTAAATGTTAGCACCATTACCTGCTGTTAGGAAGAGATTACAGACATTTGGCTCTAGCGAGGGCAGACCTCACTTGTTATAGAATCTCTGGAAATACTTAGAAGACTCTGCAAGGAATCTGCTGGCTCCCAAACATCACAGGGTCAGCATCTCCCTGTGCAAAGCAAGGCAGAGGGCTTTAGCTGGAGTTTGGCCCTGCCATCCAGGGACCCAGAGCAGGTTGGATGTTAGACAAATGTGGCCCACCCTCCTTATCCTTGGGTAACAGGGAGAGAAGAGGGCAGCCACAGACCAAAGCGGAAAGCAGGCCTAAGGAGGACCCCCAAATTGGGAAATGAATATGCTGCTCCCTCCCAGATGAGGTTATGCTGTGGAGTCTTTGTTACTAATCCAGAAGGAATAACCTGTTTTCTAAACATACTTTTTCCCTGTTGGAACTGCTCACTCCTTACAAGGCCTATCATTTTTGGGGTGCTATTGAAAGCCTGGAGACAGAGAAGGTTTACCCCTATAGATGCCAGAAAATTACGTTTGCTCTGACTTCTGATTTTATTCATTAGCATATATATTTGTAAACTAATATGTGTGAGAGATCAAGGTTAAATTGATTAAAAGAAAAAATGTGAATAATGGATAATTTGTTTCCGGTCTGAGACTGCTGGTTGTCTTCCTTCTTCTAAAGGTAATCACAGAGACTGTGGGGCTTGCAACTAAGGCTTTATATGCTGAGGGAAGAGGCCTGAGGTGGAGGAAAGCAGGCCTTCAAATCCAATTTGCACCCAAATTGCCCAGTAGGATATACAAAGCTCCAGCCAGAGACTTTCAACTTGCAGAATACTCTGTCCAGGAACCCCCTCCCCCTTCATTTCAGCTAGTTGTTCTAAAAAGAAGCCATTGCTGATACAACCATGGACCGCTGAGTAAATAGTGCATGTTTTCTTGAACAAGCCTGATATATATA